TGCAAAAGGTTTAGGGTTAGAGACACATAAACTGTACATTAAAGGGGTCATATGATGCGATTTCAAGTTTTCCTTTCTCTGCTTTGTAAAAATCGACGCGTTTCAGAAAGGCGGGGCATAGAGGAGAAACAATAATGTACAGTATGTGGAAATAATGTGTTTTTTTAACCTTAAAACGCATAAACACATCATTACACCAAATACACAAAATAATGTTCTTTTTAGCAACATCATATGACCCCTTTAAATACTTTTGGGAAGCAAACATGTACTGTATTTTTTTTTATCGACATGTTACACATCAATTATTCACATATATTGCAAAGCACAATTACTATGGTTTATCAAAGTAACACACACAAAAATAAATAAATAAATAATTTAGTGTTTCAAAGTTCAAAATTCATTATTAATGTCTCTACTGTCCCTTTTGAACATTATAAATGTTCAAGTATGAATCTACTATAAATCTAAAATAAAATCCCCAAAATTTGGAACATTGATGTACTTTTTAGGAGTAACACAATGTAATGAAATTTTTTTAATGCAACACTGGTTATTAATAAACTACTCTAAATCAAATGTAATAATGTAATCGCACCATGCTTGACACCTGCAGAGCTGAGTCTTCCAGGATGCTCTTTGCTCCCTCCATGACTGCCATATATGAAAATCGAAGCTGATCTGGGGTTTGGATAAGGCCCATTCGATACTCTCTCATATCTAACAAAACCTTTTGAATGTCCACAGACGAAGGGTCTTTCCTCTTGTCCATCTACAAATACAAAACGACAATGAAATATCAGTTAAACAGAACATTATATTGAACAGGATAATGAAAATCTTCTAACCCAGGTTTAAAAAAAATTATTACAGTCTCACATAATGAACGTAATAAATGATGATGTGCTGTAAAACCTTTAGAATCATTCAATATTCTGTAACCGCAGTCTTACCAATACAAGGCAGGTGTCAACCAATGAGAAAGTCCCAGATCTCCCTATCCCTGCACTGCAGTGGACCACGGCAGGTCCGTTCTCTGGCCCCAATGAGCCAGACTCTCGAACCTTGAAAAGGAAGTTGAGGAATGATGCTGGGGACTCTGGCACGCCAAAATCAGGCCACGTTGTGTAATTAAAATGGTAGATCTCTCTGGTTTCTCCGGTCTAAAAATATGGGACAAAATTTAAAACCACATTTATTTTTTATGTTTTGTTTAGAGAAGTATTCAATGACATAATAATTTAACGTTACATTCACCTTGCCATTTTTGAGTTCTAATAGTCTGATTGTGTAATTCGGTTTGACATCCTCAGACACCAGAGTCACCACAAACCCAGTGTCACTGAAATCCATGTCTCGCTCCTGCTTTGATGGCCAGTACTGCGCACATTTCTCCTGTTCAGATTGAACAAAAACAGCAAAAAACATATCAAAATGAATTCATTTTGTTTGTTTTTCCCCTCCACTAAGCAAGCAAATCCACATTACTATTCATCAGCTTAATGACCCCCCAAGTAGTTTGGGATCAGAATTTATTATACAGTTTGAAAGTAATTGTGTGAAATATTATTACATTTTAAATTATATTACATTTTAAAATAACTGCATACTTTACATATTAAAATTACGTTTATCACCAGTCTTCAAAAATCATTCTAACATGTTGATTTGGTGCTCAAGAAATATTGCTTATTATTATTATTAATGTTGAAAACAGTTGTGCTGCTTAATATTTTTGTGAAATCCATAACACATTTTTTTCAGGATGCTTTGATGAATAGGAAGTTCAGGATTTATTTGAAATGTAACTTTTTTTTTTGGTAAAAGTCTTTACTATCACTTTTCATCAACTAATGCATCCTTGCTAAATAAATGTAGTGATATTTTTTTAAATATAACAACTTGCTGACCACAAGCGGTTTCTTTCTTTTAAATTAAAATGTTAATAAATGTAAAAACAACACAAGGCCAAGAACAAGCATTGTTTGTGTTCACTCACCGAGCCTTTTTCTATAACTCTGTTAAGCATAATAACGGCTTTGCAACGTTGTTCCCAAATCATTTGCCAGAAGTGACCACAAGTGTTCCTCAGTGGGCCCTGCAGAAAGAGAAAAGTGTCTGCAATTACATTAGAGAATACACAAACAAGCTGGTCAATGCAAAAGAAATGCATGTAACATTCAATTACAATCTTCGAGACATTCTTCTTTGTTCTACAAAAGGCTGTAAAGGATGTTAAAAAAAAAACAGGGTAAACATGTAAATCAAATTTGTTGGTATATAAGAACCGCATGTAAATTTGTATTGAGGTCACATGGGTCATCAATGCAAGTAAGCTAAATGCAAACAGTGGACTTACTTTTTCCATTACTGCCATACCTGTGTCAATATGTACCTTCTCTGGGCCTCCTCCATGGTAATTAGGCTCGCATTTATGTAGTCATTCTCTGAATTTTCTAATCTCACCCGACTGTGATCATCTTAACACAAAAATTCAGGTTATTCAGGGAGAGTCGACAAATACTTTGGCAATTTGTGTTAAATTCATCTGAGATCAAGATTAAGCTTACAGAAAAAAAGCTTTTAAGGACTTTTTTAATAAAACAAATAATCACTGTCATTCAAATCTGTATGGCTGCCTTACACATTAAGTCGCTATTGACTCTCACTACATTTTTCCTTTATACAATGAAAGTGAATGGTGACTGAGGCTGTTATCCTGAGGCTATAACATTTCCCATTTTGGTTCACAGACTTCACAAAAAAAAAAAAAAAAAAAAAGTCATACAGGTGTGAAACAAAATGACGCTGGCTAAATAATGACACAAGTTTAAGTAAACTGTCCTTTTCAGATCAAGGTTACAAAATGAGTGAAACATTGTTAAAGTGGTTTACATGGAAGAAACTTACAGGGACTGACGTCTCTATATCTATTCCTATTGCGATTTTCTGGGAACTTTGCCACTTTGTAGGGACACTCCTGAGACTGGTTACGGATTTCCTAGAAAGAGATTACAAAATAACAAACATCAGTGTGAAAACCCTAAGAACCATCCCTTTAAAACGAAAAAAAAAAACACCACTCCACGCTCATATATTACATGACATGTAAAAACCTGCATAGAAACTTTACTTTATAATTTTAATATGACAAAAGGACGAGGAAATGTTATTAAAATATAAATAAAGAACAAATAAATCGGTCAGAATAAAATATACTCAGCCAAATAAGGGGGGTTGGGCATGTAGGACTATCTGGCTGAGTTATAGAGAACTGACAGCTTCGGTTCTTCAGTTCTTGGGAAGTGCTCGTCAGTTCTCAGAAACCGTATCAGCGCACGGAGGTGTGTCAAAACCTAGCGAGCTCCCTAACTTGACGGCATGTTTGAGTAGCACAGATGCACGCGGGGGGTTTAGAAGGCGGCAGAGATCAGATGACATTTAGGGTGACAGGACTTGAAACGCATATGGTGCCTAAAAAAAACTAACGTGAAACTGTGATGTCTTGAAATGCTGTCTAGGTAGATAGCTCACAAGGTGTTGAGACGCAGCCCACGTGTTCACAGGAAGCTGCTCTAATGCACCGCACTGTGACATGACCACTCGCGCACTTCACATTGCTGGCCTTTACTCAGAGTAAACAAGTTATTTGAACGCATGAGAATTCGCTGTATGGTTTTATTCGTTTTGCTTGTTGACAAGAATTAAACATAATACACCGACTGAGTTCTAAATCATTGTAAAACCATTTCCACTCACGTTCGGGTTGACCCGAGCTGAAGTGATTCACAAAAGAAGATTATTTCAGATGTAGCTGCGGGCAGTAAATTCATGTGGACCGTAGTTCTCGGTATTACGCGCATGCGCTGTAACGCAAAGTTGAATTACCCATTAGTTCTCACGGCCCGAGTACGTTACTTGCATAGGACTAACGTTATTAGATAAACATTACACATCTATCAGGGTAGAAAATACAGCAGATTTCCCAAGCGTTCATCCTAAGAAAGGCTCAAATGTAATCATTCAGAAGAACCGTATGACTTACATTATAAAGGTTTTGCCACTGTCCAGATGAATCGATGTTCTCAAACTCCTGATCCATTTTTTCCCGAAGCGGGGTTATTCAAACGGGAAATGGTTAAATCATATGTCGTCTGAGCTCAAACGAGGGGTCACTATTCCAATGTTAAAAATGGTCATGATCCCGTGAAAACGGCAAGAAACGGTGCAGTGCGATGTTAACCCTCATCAAAGAGGATAAAATTACCAGCACTTTCAGCACCCCCATCGGCTACTTCCGTGTGCCAGAGGAGAGCGACAAAACAGCGCCCTCTGTCGACAAGAGTCGACATGGCTACCTCGATTACTTCCAGGTGGGAGACTCATACAAGTGTTTCGAATCTTTTGAATCATTTCACCAAAACGATTCATTCACTGACTCTTTGAGAAGGCTACTATGTAAGTCTGTGTAACGAGTGGGTCATTCACTCAAGTCATTCACCAACAAAATGTCACGATATTTTACTAAATTTCCTCATTTACAAATCAAGTTTTTCCACAAATATCAACTAAGCTCATTTTTCCCGCCATCCCCATTCACCAACTTGCCTTTTCAAGCTGTAGCAGAAAGACAATATTAAGCATAAATTTAAAAAAAAGCACACTAGCATTACTATTTCTGTCACATAAAAAAAACGTTATGAGGCAGAACTATTAAAGAGTAATACGTTCCGAATCACGCGAGTCAGTGCGTGGAAGTAAGCGATACATTTCCGAATTACACCGATTCGTTCACAAATGAAACACTACTTCCAGGAAAATGATTGAAAAGATGTCTACGTCCTTTTAATTTATTGATCATTCTCTCTTTTTAACTTATTGTCTTTTGAAGTCATGGAGTAAATAGATTACATTATATTACAACTTACATAGGTTGATTAAAACTTTTGCATTGAATTACGATCGAGAAAGGGTGTGTTTGAACGTGCACGTGATACATTTAGGTTTTTTCTTGCGCTACACGTGCTAAACAGCTGCTTCTTATGAATGGCTAATAAGATAATGCTTTTATCCCCCTCACACCTTACCATGCATTATGCAACAATCCCCATGCCACACACGATTGCATAGACTGTTTGTGTGTTTGGTAGTATATCCAGCTCAAGTTGTTGCTTTCATATTTATGGCCTTATCTACTTTTAAAATGAGGGGGAACATTTTTACTGCCTTTGTGTTGGTGATGTCTTTGTTTTGTTTGGGTAAGTCGGTAATTTCCATGGAATTTGAGAAGTAGCCCATTGTGTTATATTGTATTATTCTAACATGTTTTGAATGGATTTTTGTTAACCATTTATAGCCATACTACTACATTTTAAGTAGAATCATACCAATGTGATTAAGTCCCTTTGTATCTGCAGTATGAGTGATTAATAACGGTATTTCCAAATGCCATTAAAGCTAACAACATGAAATGCGACCACACCATACACACCTGTTTGTGCCATAGAGAATAATGCACTTGAATTTCTCTTTGCTTGCAGGACAAACACTTGAGTGCTTTCGGTGTGAGCTTGGATTCTGGGATGTGTGTTACACTACCAAGACAAACTGCAGTGATAATGAATTGTGTTCTGTGGGAATTGGTAAAGCAGGTAAAAGTGATTCTAAAGTTCAGTTTTTGGGGTATTTTTTTATTTAATTTTTTATGAACCCATCTACCTTTGTTTACTCTGCAATCCTTTCCCTTTGGGTTTTCAGCTTCTGTCCTGGATATAAAGGTGATGGGTTGTCTTCCCATGGAGGAGTGCAACAAGACAACAGTTGTACAGTTCCTTGCCAATAAGACCTTATACTCCTTGAAGACCACCTGTTGTGAGGAAGACTTTTGCAACGCTGGCCCTTCCATTCAGTTGTCCCTTGTTCCTCTTTTACTTCCCATACTTCTCATTGCTGAGATGATGGGTGTGTTTTGATGATTTCTAGATTCTAATTGTTATATAAGGGATTGAAGGCTCTTCATATTTACACTGTTCACGTCCTATTCGTGTTTTACTGTTGTTGAATGATCTAAAGCATCTGCCTTTTATATAGCAGAGCACATTTTGGATGCTCTTTTCTAGCCAGTTGACTTTGTTCATCCAAATGAGTAAAGATGATTGACGTTCTAATATCTTCTTAACACAAACATGTTTTACTGTTCAATAAATGCAAATGTCAAACATTCGTGGTTTCCTGTCTTGTGCACGGTCACTATCGCATGCAATAGAGGGCGCTGTTTGACTAAAATTGGAGGCTGCTTTACTGCGCATGCTCAGTTCCGCTGATCTTCACGTCAACTTTTAAAATGGCTTATCCGATCTTTTTATTGTAAAGATCTGGGACACGTGCTTTCCAAGTCCAACGTGATTGGACCGCTTGCAACCTCTCGTTTAAAAAAAAGTAGGGAAGTGCACAAGCTCGTGTTTGCCATTATCAAGAAGTGTTGATAATTTAAAAACAGGATGTTTGTCGCGCGCAGCATCGCAGCCGATCATAAAGATCTGATCCACGATGTTTCTTATGATTTTCACGGGCGGAGAATGGCGACGTGCTCCAGCGACCAAAGCATGAAGGTAAATGGTTTATCATCCCCATGGCCTGCTAGAGTTTGCTTGCAGTGAATGCAACATATGTGGTGAACTAGCATGCAGTGTAATGTAAAAGGACGTGAATATGACAAAGTGTGCAAATCTTTAGGTTTTGTATTTTTTTTTTTCTCTCTCTCTTAGGTGTGGGATAAGGGTGGTAATGCAGAATGGAACTGCACAGCCAGCTGGAAAGTAGGTCTTACCATAAAACAGTGGTTCTCAACCAGGAGTCCTGGGCCCACAAGGGGGCATCAGCAAACATCCAAGGGGGCAAGAGTATAAAGCATATAAATTATTACAACCCTCTACGTTGCGAGTAAATCACTCGCATATGCGACTAAATCTTAACTCTGGGCGACTAAATGATGTCTAATATTAGCCAATTGCTAATAAATTGTCAGATTTTACTCGCCAGTGAGTTAGAGGCTAAGTATAAGTTTAGCTCAGATATATTTTCACTCGCCGAACACCTTGGTGCGTTTTATATTGTTCTTATTAGTAGAATTCGTATCATTATTATCTAATCAGTATTTTTGTTAGTTTTTCCCCAATTTAAATTTTTTTTTACAGAAACACTGAATGACCAAAAAAGCACCACCACCAGTCCGAAGTTCAGTTAAAATGACTAATATGCATTCATACATGGTTATCAAGTTTTAATTCTAATTACAAAAGTTCTATCATTAAATAATATTGATTATCATATTATAATGCTTGACTGACTGGTTTTAAGAGTGTACTTTCAGATATTTATAAAACTGTGCCATTTTACAAACAAATATATATTTATCAGTCTGGCGAGTAAACAAAAAAATTTACTAGCCAATGGCGATTCAATTGCCAAGGTGTTAGTAGAGGGCTGATTAATCAGTTATTAATTTATTAACAATTATAATTCTAATCTTATTGAAAATGCAAAAACCGCACAGTCAAGTTTGGAATCACATTCTTCCCCAAACCCCCTATAAGTGTGCTGGATGATGAAGTGTTTAAATTATTATTATTATTATTATTATTATATTGAAAGTAATGTAGTTTACTTCACTGTAGTTATTATTGAAGAGCTTTCAGTTCTTGAAACTTTTGGAATGACAACAAATTGTGGTTAATTTAATGTCAACACAGTCAGTTTCTGTTAATAAAGTTTGAAAACAAGCAACTTTGGCGTAATTACAGCTATACTGATAACATTATATCTTTCAATATCAATATCATTCAAAATATATTGTGTTGGAGGACAGTGGGTCAAGAAGGCCGAGAACCACTGCCATAAGAAAATCCCAAATCCTTATTAAACAGACGTGTTCTATATGGAGCAAATAAGGAGAGATGGTGGTGGGGAAAAAGTATGAGATGGGAGGAAAAATCTAAAAAAATTTGTGAGAACTTTTTCTCAACATGTAGTTCCCTCATTCAGACGGTTTACCAGTTGGATTTTGGTTATCATGAATTGGTGTAGACTCCCAGTGTTGGTCATCATAATCAGGTGTCTTGGGTTTTGTCCTGTACTTTGACAGAAACTTGTTTTGTAGACTCACAGTGGCTCGGTTTGGAGAGTGACCTGGGCCCATCCAGAGTTTGGACAAGTGTTGGCATCCTGCTCCTTTGACCGTACTGCCATAGTATGGGAGGAGATTGTTGGAGAGTCCAATGACAAACAACGAGGACAAAGCCATTGGGTAAGAGATCCTTTCTAGTATGTGCATTTGCCCTAAATAAGTTGGATTTGATTAGGGTTTATACATTTAGGAAGGAGGCTTCCTAAATAAGAGTGGCTACTATGCTAAGTGTACTCTTCTTTGTCTAGTGCTTTTTTTTTAAGACTTATCTTATGCTGTGCTGCATATATTTGATAGTATACTGTATATATTGCACAGAAAGCTGTTATTCTATGCCAAACATAGCCTGTGCATAACATTTGTACATTACAACAGTCAACGTTTATGTCTCCCCTGTTCTCACATCAGATAAAGAGAACCACACTTGTGGACAGTCGGACATCTGTGACCGACGTGAAGTTTGCCCCGAAGCACATGGGCTTGATGCTGACCACATGTTCTGCAGACGGGGTGGTGCGAATCTACGAGGCCCCTGACGTGATGAACCTGAGCCAGTGGTCCCTGCAGCACGAGATCTCATCCAAACTCTCCTGCTCCTGCATCTCCTGGAACCCTTCCAGGTGAGAATTCACAAATGATAGATAAACACATCTATATGTGAATAGATGTAAGCACGTACACCTACACAGTTGTGGAGTTCGTTGCAGAATCTACTTTGCAGATGTGCACAATTTGTAACTTGATATATCCTGCATCTGAAAGTCTCAGATAATTGAGATGAAGTTGGGAATCGACAGTGTTCTCATTAGATCTGTGACTGCAAATTGCACTGATATTTTACATGCTTGTCAGCATCCAACAGTGAGGTCAGACGCAATAGCAAACGTCTCTTTTGACTTTCAAGGCATCTCGGATCACTTTTGAGACTACATTGTCTTGGTAAACTGAATCAATGAATGCACCTGTTTGATTAATAAAAATATATTTTTTGTCTTCACAGTTCCCGAGCTCATGCACCTATGATTGCAGTGGGTAGCGATGACAGCAATGTAACATATGGTGGCAAAGTTCAGATATATGAGTATAACGAAGTTACAAGGTTTGCCTTCTATTCCCTTTATCCTTTTATAGGCTAGTTCACACTCATCCAGGAAAAAAAGGAACATCAACATTTTAGACATTCTGAAGTTGGATTTAGAATGGTGTGAAACACAACTATCATTGTCACGCTGACCTAAGAAATACCAACAGTTCACACACAAACCTTTCACACATATCTTTTATGCACATTTTAAATACGTGTTTTAACCTTCACAGGTTGGATGTATATTTTTTTACTTTATTTGGATGGTTGTAGGAAATATGCCAAAGCAGAGACACTGATGACAGTTACAGATGCTGTACATGATATTGCATTTGCTCCAAATCTGGGACGGTCTTTCCATGTACTTGCTATTGCAACCAAAGACGTGCGCATCTTCAAACTGGTTCCACTTCGGTGAGCAGAATGAAACCAAATGTATATTACAGTAGAATGGGATTAATATAAATTGTGTCGTGGTGCCATGTATTTGTCTTTACCGTTTAACCTTGTACATCTATACTTTTAATTATATTACTTTTACTATAATATTCAATAACGTTAAGGTTCTTTAATAATGCAAGCTTTTTTTTTTGTAAAGCAGAAAATTCAGAGATATTTGGTTCAATTCTAATTAGATGCCAATAGATCATTTACTTGAATTTGCTTGCTGCTTTTTGAATAACAGAAAGGACAGCTCTTCTTCAGCACCCACTAAATTTGAGGTGCAGGTGCTGGCTCAGTTTGACAGTCATAACTCTCAGGTTTGGCGGGTCAGCTGGAACATCACCAGTACACTTCTGGCTTCCTCTGGTGACGATGGTTGTGTGAGACTCTGGAAAGGTGAGGGTTTGTAATAACAATCATCAAAAGAATGCACCTACTGAAGTGTTATTAATTATTAATTTATTGTAATTTGACCATTTCACCAGCAAACTATATGGACAACTGGAAGTGCACAGGTATTCTAAAGGGAGATGGTAGTCCAGTATCAGGTCAGCCTGGAGCGCTGAGCGGCATCCTGGGATCTGCTACTGCACAGAGTGCTCTAAACGGGGCCACTAGAAGATAGATGCCATATGACAGGAGCCAAATCTGGAGCTGAGCACTTCTTTGATACTGGACTTTACACTGAGACCAACTGATTGTGCTTGCTGGACATGCAAGAAGACTGGCACTTACCATGGGTCCATTATTATTATTATTATTATTATTATTATTATAAACTGCCTTCAATTAATGTTCCTTAAGTTGACTTTCCTTTCAGTCTATGGGATTGTTTTACTCTGGATACAGACTGAAAAATACATGGCCTTTTTGCCCATTTCTGTATTTTGAAATGAGTCGTGTTTAAATGGATGTTCTGATCCCGAAAAGACAACATATCTATTTAGGAGGACGTGTTTTATTTTAATGATGTTTTGTTGACATGATTAAGGATAAAAGATGCTGCCATTACAAAGCTGCGTTACAAATTACAAATATTGGTCTAATTGACTTCACTCTCGTGTTATTGTATGAGAATCATATAAAGGTTAAGGTTTAAGCAGCTAGTATATATGAAGTATTCAGAAATATTTGAGCTTGTTTTATTTGAATCATGCATTTCTACGTTTAGTAAAATAGGCGATAACTATAATAATCCTTGCTAGGTTACTTTTGATAGATGATTTGATTTCCATGTATGATGAAAAGTTTCTGTGAAGAAAAAGGGAAGTTGTATTAAATGCCATGGTGTTAAACACTTCAACAGAATTGTTTTCTTTGACTATTTATAAAATAGTGGATTGAATATAAAAAATTTGACTGGGCCTGAAAAAAAAAAAACTAGAAATTTTCTTACCACACACAGTCTAATTTTGAAGTAGTGACATTAAAACATTTTCTGGATTTTTAGTGGTTCAATAAGCAATATTTTCTACAATCCATGTATTTGTTATTGTGTATGAGTACACATCTTGTCCTGCACTCTGGAATTTTGTGTATGGTCTTAAATCAGAATAATTATTTCTAGTCTTAAATTTAATCACAGTCCAAACGTGCCGTTCGGTTGAATTACAATGTGTTCAGCTAGCAACTGTCATGTAGGGCTCCCACAGCTGCTAGACTCAGCTGCTCTGTGGATCACATTTCACGATCTCGTAGTTTATGTGGAACGTCATTTGTGTAATTTCGAAAATTGTAATTACATAATCATTTAAAACATTTAAAATGTTCGATCGTAAGATCTGTACAACCAATTAAAGTCATCATGCATTCCGAATTTTTCTGCTGTAACTACTAACTGTAAAGTATACACAATGCAACGCTATTTAGAACCAATTTATGTAAAAATGTTCCCAACAAGCAGCTTCTTCATTCAAAACACACAAAAACGTGATTGACACATGATTTCGCCACTTTGAAAGCAGTCAAAAAGAATTGTCCAATGAAATGTGCCGTTATGTCGAAGCCCCGCCCACGCAAAGAGAAACCTAGAGGCGGGATTCTCCCGTAATGGCTTCATCTTTACTCTTCGACAAACACTTCTCAAAAAGCGGGGAGGCCACTGTAACTGCAACGATTTTTAGCATCACACGGATTATCGGTGCTGTGTTTGCGTGAAGTAGTTGAATGAACTACTTTTATTAAGGCACAAGTGCCGCTTTTCCCCTCATGGTAAGTTGTCTTCGAAACCGATTCCTCTCAGCTGTTGCAAATCTTTTTCAGAGTTGTTGTCACTCTTTGGTTTTCATCCAACGACTGGCCAAAAAAAGTAAGCCCGAGCCAGGAAAAGGGTCGTTTATTGTTTAAGTGATATTTTAAGTGTTACTTTCGTCTTTGTTTAACTGTTTAAGTTGTGTGGTTGAAGTGTTTGTATCTTGGCCTTGATTAAGTTAACGTTAGTCTCCATTGCACGGCGTTTATTTGAGTTAAACAGCCCGTTAACCTTATTTGTTTAGGTTTTTATTCAGTCCTCCCAAAAAGACTGTTACTCTGCTATCAGAAACCTACTACAGAGGTTAATGTGTAGTTAAAGTTGTTGGTTATTGAACTGATAAAGCTAGTCTGCTAACTACAAACGTCAGATAAAAAGACGCAAATTCTAGAGAAAGAGGCAGTAAAGTTCACGAGGTTGCTAAATGTCGTTTTTTATTCAGTTAAAATGTGCTTTAGCATTTTTTTTTTAGTAATAAAGCAGAATGCAACGGGAACTAGCAGCCGTATCGACAGATTCAAGCTCTGTGTAACAGTATGAATTATAAAACACCCCGCTATGTCTGATTTGACACTTCAAGAGAAATAACATTCTCCAGCTTCGTATTAAATTGACTTGATGCAGACGTTCACAGATTCATGGCAGTCTACCATGTCCAGTAAACACCCAAGTACAGTATGACAGTATAATTTATCACCGGTTTCCTATAGGAACTCATGATGTGGCCTGTTCACTCTTGTTTTTGTTATTTTTATAGGTCACTCCTCATGTGGTGAAGCCCTGTGAGTCACACAGACATGGAGAACTTCCGAAACATCGAGGATGAGCCGTTTCCCAGCTTCCTTTCAAACGCCTCGCTGGGCAGTAGCGGCCGCACCACTCTCGGCAACGTGACACTGGGCTCTACGCTCGGGATGCCCATGGCCGCCTCTACCTTGGCTAAAATTAGACCTCCAGTAGACAACAGGTGGGAGACTCCTGTATGTAATCTCATGAATATTGTGATTGTGTGTCTGTCCTAACTAGGGGAGAATGTTGACTTCCTCAGTTTCTTTGGTGAATCTTTGAAAAGGGTCATTTCATCTCATTTGGTCCAAAGATTATAAAGTTCATTGCCTGCCAGATTTGATTTTCCTCAGTTGTTTGAGTGATTACCTTTATATATTGTTTTTGTAAAACACCAAATTTTCATTTTTATTTCACTTGGTTTAACCATAGCATCTGTCTTTGTGTCATGGCCCCCAACAAAGTTTTGGTATATAGACTTTTTATGAAAACCTCAATATCTCATCTCCGAATAGTCTGAGCTTCTTGGAACAAGGAGAATCCCTAATGCACATTTACTGGAACATATTTAAATATTTTACACATTCTTGTTCCTTAGTTAGAACTTGAGTCCAAATGTAATGGTCAAGATTGCTTTTTTTTGTTTTTTTTCCAGACAGGCCTCATTGACAAGCATAAACTGTTGTATTTCAATCATAAACAGTTTCTTTAAAATACTGTTCTTTTTTTTATTAGTGATGCACCGAAATGAATTTTTTCCAGAAACACTAACTGAAATTAAAGTTTTCATGTAACAAAAATGCTCCTCCTAGAGTTATTTTTCCCTCTTGCTTACACATAAGCTGTGAACATTGACTATTATTCTGAGTTAAATGTAACACTTACAAACTGTATTATTTACGCCTTTCTGCAGTTGAAATGCTAATTGAGCAATTACTTGAGGCATGAAAATTTTTAGCAAGTCCATACTCTTTCTTTTGAGATTACGAGTGTGAAAATGCCATTTATTGTTTGAGTTTCACTATGAATTTTATTGTTCAGGAGTGTATTGTTTTTTGAGTATCATATTGGTTTACATAGGAGAATGTGGAGCTCACACTTGAATTTCGTTATAAAATTGACAGAATTTGAAAGTTCAGACTTTTTCATATTAAAGTTACAAAGCCCAAAGCTTATTGTAATTATTGGATGAGAGGCATGCTACAAATAATGTGTAGTGAAGTTTTGTTCACGCATCAACTTAAAACCTTAAAGCCTAAAAGATCTCTGTTCATCAAAACAAAGATCGACCCTAACCTGACCTAAAAGTGTAACTTTGATCATTACGTTTGGACTTAAGTTGTAAATCTAAGGAACAAAAATGTGCGAAATCACACTAGAAGTAATCGCTCAAAAACACTAGGAACATTTAAAATGGTCACGCAACCTAAGACAGACCCAAAGTTGTTCTTTCAAAGAGGAAGAACATTTATTTTATATGTGAGTTGTTGGTCAAAACACTGGTGCTTTATTTATTTTATTGACTGGTTGGTTAGAAATTGAGATTGAAATGATTCGCTAGACTAGCTCATGTAGGTTCAGGGCACATATGCTTTACTTGTATTGCTGTTAATTTTTTTTGTCTGTTTATTGGAAGTAGTGTGTTATTTGAGAGTCCTTTTTGTCTTTTACAGAGTAACTGATATCCAAGCATCATATTTAGAGGATGGACAGTTTTCACTCATGCATTCCCAAGGGTCAGATGGAGGCAGGGAAAAATTTGTTCTCAGCCTCAAAGAAGATTTGTAAGTGTTCAGCAGTTGTTAATAATTTTTCCCCCATCTGTAAGTGGGTTAGAAATCAGTGTGACCTTCAATTATTTTCTGGTAAAATTTTTTAGTACTTGTACTACCTAGTTATTGTGCTTATAATAGTTATAGGCTATTTGCTCTAGTATAAGTAATCAGCCGATATTTGCCAGTTTTAAGATTAATGGCATTGACAGAACTGCTAGTTTTCTATTTTGTCTACAAACAATCTTATCAGTAGGTCAAAAAAAAATTTCTTCAGCTTTTGAGTTTTTAATAAATAATGTGTGTTATATAATGTTTGTCACTTCAGCTATTTTGTCTTGTTTTCCTTCATTAAGTTATGTTATGTAGTTTTGAATTTAACATTTTGTTGGCCATCAGCCAGATCTGGATTATTGGAAACCTGTGTTGCTTGACCGAGTGTGTTCTTTCATTACTTTTTTTTTTTATTAATTAATTTTGTTGTGTAGAGACAATGTAGGTGTCTTCATTGCTGCGAATCGGTTCTCTGACCTGCTGGTGAATGTTAATTTGGATGAAACAGAATCTGCTTCTGTTTCCAAAACATCATCAGGAGGGGTGGCTGCTCCTCTTGTGTCAGGTTCTGTTCCTCATCAGACTTCTGGTATGTAATCTGTTTTCTTTAGTTTTATTAATTAAGGCTTGTTGTTCTTAATTTTAGGGTAAAACTAATGTGTCTTACTGATAATGCATGATCAACAATTATTTACAAAATAGTGAATAACATGTATAAACTGAAAAATATATTTTGAAATGTATATTTTATCTTTCCTTAGACCTCTCAACTGGTCTTCTGTCATTCTCTCATATTGGAGACAAAGATACATTGGCAGCTCAGGTAATTTTTGTGCTCATTGACACTTGAGCACATGAAATAACAGTCAGAAAAACTTTATATCATATCTATATGTCCAGAAAGTAAGATGAAATTCTTATAAATCAGTGAGATCTTTGTAACAGTGCAGCAGACTACTTGCATAAAATGCATATAAATATCAATTGCCACTCTATCTGCTAGCAATATGTCTTCGTAAGATGAGAATTAAATATTTTGTTTTATAATAAAAGCTCTACAGTTTTTATTGTGGGGGCAAAACATAATGCAAAGCAAAATGTTTGACAGATGTACAAACAAACAGTATCTTATTTTATACTCGTATATTTAATGCTCACATTTTAACATGATAAAAAAAAAAAAAAAAAAAGATTTATGGACTTTAAGATAAACTTAAGTTGCTTCAGTCCAGTAAGTGTTTCTTGAAATATTACTAACAACATAAAATTTGTTCATACGTTTACTTAATAATCAGTAAAGATTTCAAAGCAAAAAGACATGTTTACCACAACCTGAAGATGGACATTTTTGGAATTATACTAGGCCTTTGACTTGCTAACAATGTAAAAACTATCAATCAGTTGACATAAGGCATGTAGTAGACTGTGTACAACAGGCTATTAGAAGAAGTTTTGATAATTTAGAGGCCTTATAAATTTGCATATCATATGGTAGGGTTATGCTCTCTTTTATTCTCAGGCC